GAGCAATCTGCTCGCTTTTGTATGTGGGTTGGGATATTTGGCTCTTTCAGTGTCCGTGAAATTTCTTTTTGAATTGGGGACATTTTCCCATGCTGTAGGGCACATATATCCAAAATATAAAGTGAGCTACAATAGACAAGCATTTCACGTTTTCTTTTTGCTATTTCATCATAGTCCAGTTAGTCATCTTTAAGTTTTTACGTCACCAATGTATATTGTTTACTAAGCATTTGTTTTAATTGTATGCTGCAGCGTTTGCAATCCGTCAGTGGCGGCACATCACTGCTTGTGAAAGCAACGCAAATTTTGGGGCACATCGTTGACCACTGGCTAGCTATTTAAAACCACTTCCGAAATATTGCTTTTGCGGGTCCTGTCGAATTTATGTTTTACTTCTTATGAACCGTTTCCTGTTGCTGTTTAACTTTTTGTCAGTGTGATTATCAAGTCTGTAATAATGAAACTTTGGTTCTGGATAAAAATGTATTGTACTCACTACTATGTCTGGACAAAAGTAACATAGGGCCAATTGGAAGTATACAACACTGCAGTTGTTTTAGTCTCCACGAGACCCCTTCCGTTGATAACGAGGTGTGTTGCAACGACAGCATTGAAACATCTATGCGATCACATACAACGCTGATAGCTGCAACGAGATATCAAAATATGCGTGTGTTTCTATTGATCCACGTTCACTGGCTCAGGTTCAAGTTTCAGACGTTTTAATTTTACCCATGTTCAATCTACCAACATGCACCTCTGTATCTCATAACGCATTGGTCTCAACTGTGCACCCACGATGTGACCTTGACAATTCATTGAAAGTCCTTTCCTTGCCCGTCCACATATACAGATGTTCATCCGCCAATCTACTGAACCATGCCACCGTCCATTGCTTCAACCGTGCTGGTTTTATTCATGCTTTAATCGGGAGTTGTGGTTTTGGTCCACCACTTGATTGACTAACTCTAAGCCAAACCATTCAACTCAACTTCACTTCACTCCGTCGACTGGCGACGAGATTTTTAGCGCTAATATGGCGCAACCCCTTGTAGACATATGAACGCATATAATAGAGGTTCATTTCTAAATATTACCAAGGTCTTGTAAATAGCAATATATATATATATTGTATCCGTTGCGTATTGAATAACAATGAATCGTTTCTACAGCTGGCTCAACGAATGCTTTTCGGCGCTTAAGATACACACACACAACATTCATTGATTTGCTTTGAATACACTTACGGAATTTGCCAATAAAAAGTAATGGGTCATACTGTTCACAGCTAGCAACTCAAATTTAGTCTTTAATAATATTATAAGTATCGTTATGGCATGTTCCCCGTACCTGAAGGATGGAGTAACACCTATAAACATTTCGGCTAACATATGACCCTTAACAAATCTGCAGCCAAATTGAAGAGAGACAAAGCACGATGTCACAGAACCAACCGTCTTTGTGTTATAAAACCTCAGGTATCTGAGAGTCTAATGCACATAAGTTTAGTCAGCATCGATAACCAACAAATACAGTCGGATATTTGCAATTCCAAAACGCGCATGCAATGGTGCAGCAGCTAAGAATAAAAGCAGACATCATCCGTAAATCTAAAGCGGGTTTTAGACAGTGGCTCACTACCACAAGATGCTTCCTGAGCATGATATGATAAAAACACTTGCTTCACCTCCTGCTTGGTTATTAATATTCACATGTCTTTTCCTATAATCAAAAGAAGAACCAGCTAATTTGTGTGCACTATGTCTGTGACACAGAAAGATGTGTACGGCGCCATCATGTCTATTATGTATTCATCCCATCCAGGCGCAGAATGCATCCTCCCAAGTGTCATAACATTGTTTAGTAAAATAACATCGTAGTAGTTGCTAAACGTCGTCACATTTCGTTAGCCATCAGCTCTTTCCCACTTCAGTGCAAGCACTCTATAGAAATAAACAAAAGTTGCCCACAAAATGGAACGTCAAACCAACGACTAATGAATCATACCTCCGCTTCCCCTAAAGCCCTTGAACGAACCGAAAATAGAAAGGCTTTCATTTTCTTACAAGACTGGACCTAAGAAATCACTCACAAAATGGTTTTACTTCCAGAATCTCCTGCGTTGTCTACCATATACCATGATTGGATAATATTCCATTTGTGATTAGCAGATGAATATCAGTCAGCATTATACTCTCAAACATTCACAACATTTGTCCACTTTTCACGTAAACAATTATTGCTTGTACTATGCTATTGGAAACCCTCAGCTAAGCTGATCCGATACATACCTAAAACATCATTCTAAAGGAGTAAAGCAGTTCAGCAACACTCCATGCCAAATCGAATGATCAGATGTGTCTTTCAGTGTGGTGTGCTAGGGTTGCTACTTTCCTCCTCGATATTAATAACATACACGAACGCATAAAGCACGGACGATCAGTTATGTTTGCAGATGGGTTGAAAACATTCTACTAATTTCAAGCACCGTAGTTACGACTGTGCCTGGGATGCACTCATGAAGACCTGTCGGCACTGAATTTATCTACTGAATGCCTGCTAATAAAATCAATGGAAAAGTATCCCAGGTACTTTGGTACAGATGCTGCATCCCGGAAGAATCTATACCGCTTGCCGGCAAGGTGATTGCAACCTCGGATTTGGCCGAGATATTAAAATTGGATACTTCATTACCTTTGATATTTAGCTTGAAACAGCTGAATGTCTATTCGGCTACATCAATAAAACATTTTTCTTACTTCAATACGAGTTTAGCTAGTAAAAATTATGTAGGACCTACTCTAGAATATTGTACGATTACCTACAACCAAATAAGAAAGAAGACAGTAGAGTTTCGGAAAACGCCTTACCTTTATTTGCTAGACTTGCCATGGGGACACCTTCAACATTGAGTTACAATTGTCTTTCTCTTCATCAACTAGATTTCCCTTAACTGTGGCATACAGAGGATAATCTATTACTCTCCATTGTTGTAAGTAAGCGGATCTGCGTGGGTAGTTGCGTGAATATAGATGTACGTGTTGCGAAAAAGCTACTAATGGTCAAATTGGCGCCGTAGATTTTACAACCAACTACTTAGAGTTGCAGTTACAGGCAAAGCTGAAACAATACTGCCTCATTCATGTGTCAAACAACGTCTTATCACTGGTGAACATGCACGAATTCCCGAGCAATTAAAACTCGCGCGTTCATGCATTGTTCGACCGCAGATATTCCCGTTTCATCTCAAGTCCGTGCAAACGCATATCCCTGAATGAACGCGTCATGGCCGGTGCAGTTGCGAAAGGTACGCATTGAATTCATTAAAGACAAATAGATTTAGACGCAGCATATTCAGTATGTTTGACTGAAGTGTATATCAACCACTTGAGAAAATAACTTTTAGGATGCAACCGTGATGGGCGTAGCTGTATCACAGTCAGATTTCCAATCATGCTGGTTATTCTATGTCTATGATGCAAAGTTGGTGGCAAATGGTGCAAGCCACTAGCATACAAGATTTCATTCCTCCAAAGGATATTCACACCCATGACGAGTTCAAAGTAGACGGAACGGCGGCCTGGGGCTTTTCGGATTGGCAGTTGGCCTGAACAGCTTTTTATCTAATTGTGATGAACTACATAAGTCTCACTAGAGCCCTCTACTCGTGAGTAAACCGGTATTAATCGGCGATGGCAAGATCGGTTAGCAAGTTCATCTTATGCTGTACTATTACCAAGTGGGACAGGGGTTCTTGTCACGCATATTGATCACTGACCATCATCAGCTGAGTTTGCTGGAATAACCAGGATGGGAAAGGATGATTAACGCGGGTGACACCAGGCGACCTAACTTTATCATGTCCGCTGGTGAGCGTTGGTGTATAAATTAAGGCGCAGTTACCTAGTGGTCCGTTGCAGCTTCCGCTTTACAATAATCAGCATTCGCCTCTCGGGATTTTCAGAATCCACTATGTCCTGTAATTGTGAGTGAATAGACGTTATTTACTCAATATTCAATTTACCACTGATGAGATATCTACGCCCACCATTGCTACTGCCAGTTGAACCAGGCTGTCAAACACGTCTTCATGTATTTCTGAAGGCTTACACTTGGCACCCACCATACAGTAGATTATGTACCGGTTGATTGATGGAGCAATTAAATAGATTGCTGCATCGAATATTCTGACTACCCTGTTACCGGACGCCATGCACATGCTTGCTTACTGCGAAATATCTCTGGCTCAGAATGTCACTCACTGGCTCAGAGGTAATCAGTTTTCCAGTGTTTGCATCTAGAAACAGTTAGCTTTCTGTAGGAAATACCTACCATTTGTCGCATGAATACAAAAGGCTGAGAAAAATGTTATCAATCATAATCACTGGGCTACAGTCGGTGTTTATTAGCTTCGTACACCGTGTCTGCTGCCCTGTCTCTTCCCCAAGCATATTTACTAGATGGTCAGCACACTCGGAAACTGTACGGCTGTTAAAAGCTGTCATGGAAATTGTTCGAAAATTAATAAACCGATGCATTTAATACCACTAGCATCCTGAAGCAGCAGCAAATTGGGTGTTGCCCGCCTGAAACCACTGCACTCCATGACTCGTTTCGAGGTTATTTCCTCTCATCAGATACAGATAGCAGGCATCGAACCCGGTACCATTGAGATGTTAGTTGTGACCACCACCCCTAAGTCAATGGTCCCGGGTTCGATGCCTGCTATCTGTATCTGATGAGAGGAAATAACCTCGAAACGCGTCATGGAGTGCAGTGGTTTCAGGCGGGCAACACCCAATTTGCTGCTGCTTCATCAGCTACGGTCCTAGTGATCGAACGGCCAACGTTCACTTCAATGGGAATCGCGGTCTACTTTGAGATTGCGCGTCGCAATCCATCCACACAACGTGTACTTCAAATTCACTTTCCAATCCACTAGCTTTCTCTGCTTCACGGCGACTGTTAGTGTCGTGCGGTGAAGGCGTGGTGGTGAGCGTCTAGATGGGGATTGGGATGGCGGATGGGTGAGTACCTTGTTCGTCACCAGATCCGGTTATAGAGCGAGCGCCCACTTTGTCTGCTCGGCGCAGTGAGGTCGGCGCTAGGGGGTGCCGGTGGCCCTGGTCTGAGGCCCTATACAGGCTGAGGGTGGTTGTGTTTGCCATTGCTCGAGGGGTCCCGTGGGAGGAGAGGGGGGAGACCCGCCGTCCCGCGTTTGGTGTGCGAGCTGCGCGGGCGGGCCGAGAGCTCCGTGGGGGTATCGAGCGGCCTAGTGGACCCGATCCGGGGTGGGGTGGCATTCCGTTGAGTTGGGGCTCGTTGCGGCATGGGTTATTTATTTGTTAAGACGTTAATAGATAGGTGAGGTATATCTGCTGGCGTGCCGCGGGTGTGTGCGACGAAGAGTCGGGGCGCGTGGTGCCGGGCTTTCGTGGTGGGGGTGGGGCGTGGGCGAGGGCGGGGGCTAGGCTGGGGTCGCCCGCCCCGGAGTCGAGGTTCCCTCGAGGTATGAGGTTGTGCCGTAGGGTGCCGTGGGGGGTGTAGGTACTGCCGTGTGTATGGGCAGCAGTAGTCGTCCTTCTCCGGCCGGGAGGGCCGGGTATCGGGTGGAGGGGCTGGGGGGGGGAGCGACCGGTGGGCGTGGGGGGGCGCCTGGCCTAGGGGCCCAGCGGCCCTCTCGCATGATCCCTCTGGAAGGGCGGAGGGGGGGTGAGGGGAAGAAGAATGGGGAGCGTGACAAGGGTCGGGGTGTGGGGTCGTTGAGTTGGTGTCGACGGGTGAGCGGGGTGGGCTGGCCGCCGTAGTGAGCAGCGACCTGTTTTGAGAGGGGCCTCGACTAGTTTGGAGGCCGGGGTGCGCCCCCCGATGTGGGTCTGCACGAGGCCAGCTGCCGCCTGCGTGGTTGTGCCCAACCCAAGCCTCCCCCCCGAGGGTGGTTTTGCGATGTGAGTCGGTCGTGTGTGGCGGATGGGGCCGGAGTAAGAGTGAGTTTCGAGTGTGGGGTTGCGAAGTGCGGAGTGCCCCGGAGATAGTAGATGGCCGGGTTCCATAATTGCTTGGCGGGAGGTACTGCAGAGTACGGGGGCGAGGCCGGCCGGGGGCCCTGGTGCGGTGCGTGGGGCGAGGCCAGGGCGCCGGCGGGAGTGGTGCGTAGCAGGACCGCCCGCTGAGAGCCGGGGGGTGGGGGAGTCGGGCACGCCTGCCCCGGGCCCACGGGTTCAGGCTGAGTGTTAGATTGGCGTGAGGTGGGAGAGGGTTGCTATCTGTTGCCTGAGGTTAGGGGGTCGGGGCTGCGCGGTGCAGGTGAGCCCCCGAGGGGGGCCCGGAGTGGCCCGGGGGGGCGTGGAGTAGGGGCGGGTCCTTGCGGGGTCCCCCCTTGGCCGGGAGGGGGGGTCGGTCGGGGAGCTGGGGAGGTGTTACGCCGGGGGGGGCACAGAGGGTCTGGGGCCGGACCCGCCGCCGGGTAGGGGCGTTTTTGCCCGTCAGCCGTGTCCCTGGTGGGGCTGTCCCGGCCCTCCCGGCCTGGCCCGGAGGAGGCTCATGGTGGTTGAGGGGGTGGCCGCGCCCCGTGGTGCCGCACCGCCCCCCCCGCCGCTGGTGGCACCCGGGCGCCGGGGTGGGGAGTCGGGTCTCGAGGCCCCCATTTCGGGGGTGCCATCCCTAAGGTGGCGGAAATCCCCCCCCCCCTTGGGCCCGCGCCCGCCCTGTTCCCGCCCCTGCCCCGGGGTGCGGTTGGGTCTCCCGTGGTGGAGTCCAGAAGTGTCCCTGCAGTCGGAGTTTGATCTGTTTCGGATCGGGCACCTGTGCGATTCCGCCGGAGGGCCAGAGATGTTGAGAAGGCGGGGGCCAGAACCTGGGGGCGGGGAGCAACCGGGCGCCGCACCCCACCACCTGCGGTATGGGGGCACCCCCCCCGCCAGCGGGTACGACCAGCCGGTGGGGGACCGGGGCACCCCCACAAGGACCACGGCGCCACCCGGGCGCGCAACGGGATCAATCCCGGGGTTGTGGCGGGCACCCAACGCCACCCACCCGGCCCGAACGGCCCCGGTGGGGCGGGGGCGGCGGCCACCCCGGCACGTCGGGGGGGGGCGGCCGGCCCGGGCCCTTTTATGGGGGCCCCCCCCCCCCCCCGGGGCGCACCCCCCCCCCCGGCCCCAAGGCGGTCGGGTGGCGTGTAGGGCACTAGCCCCCCTGGGGGGGTCGGGACAGCCCCCGACCCCCTACGGGACCCCCGTGGTGGCCCCCTCCCACGGACCCCCAACCTGCCCGAGCCTACCCCCACCCTGGGGTGGTTCCCACGGCGCCCCCTACAACCCGCTGCCGCCCCCCCGCCTGGGACCTCCCGGCGCCCACTGGCCCCCCCCCCCCGGCGCAGCCAGGCAGCCGGGAACCCCCCCCGCGCCCCCTAGGAGCCGGCCGTCCCCCCCGGAGCTGCCGGCCGCCACTGCCCCTCATCACCCCGCCCCCCCCCCCCCCCACCAGGGGGCGGTCCCCCCCCACCCCACCCCCTCCCCCCAGGTGGGTCCCCCACGGGGGGGGCCCCACCACCCCCCCCCCCCACCCCCCGTCGACTCGGCCCCCCCCCCATCCCGACTGACGCAGCCCCCCACCCAGGGCGGCCTGGGCCCCGGCTGAGGGCCCCCCCCCGGTCCCGTAGCCCCCCGGCGGCACCCCCCCCCCCGCCCTCCGTAGCGTGGGCCCGGCCGGGGTGTGGTTGGTCCGGGCCCCCCCTGGGCCCCCCCCCGCGCGGGAGGGCCGGGCCGTGGCCCCCCCCCCTGGTGCCCGGAGGCCCCCCCCGGTGGCCGTCTGCCCCCCAGGCCCTGCCCCCGGCCCCGGCGGATGCGGGAGGCACGCGCGGTGGGCCCCCCCGGTACGTGGGCGGGGGGCCGCCCGTGGGGGTGTGGGCCTCAGTCCCGCGCACCCCCCGCCCGCCCGGCGAGATTGCCCGCAGGGTGGGGGCCGCCCCACCCCCGGGGTTTCCCTGCCGCCCCCTGGGCGGCCCCCCCCCCCCCCGGGGCCCCAGGGAGGGGCCCTAGGTCCCCCCCCCGCCCGTAAGCTTGTCGCCCGCCTTGCGGTGCCCCCCCCCCCATCCCTCCTTCCCCAAAGCCCCTGCCCCCGTGCTGCCCCCCCGGGGTGTGGGCTCGCACGGACCCCCCCCCGGTGGGAATATTGCCCCACGATTCCCGGAGTTCCCACGCTTCCGTTTTTGCCCCCCGCCCCCCCGGGCCCCCGGCCTGGGGCCACCCTCGCATTTACGTCCCCCCCGGCCCCCCCCCCGTGTCTGTGCACCAGGCACACAGTCTGAAACCCAAATGTCTATAAAAACAACCTAGAAATTCTTCCTCACATCTCATAACTACCACAGTATTTTTGATGAAAGTTCATTCTCTTCACTCTAAGATCCATACACTACGCTCATTTGTGTAGGTGAGTAATCCTGATATCATATTTACAACAGAATCTTGGTGTCATGATGACATGTCGGACAATCAGTTGAGTATTTCCGGATAAGACAAGTTTATGAGAAATCGGCCTGGTCGTCGAGGTGGTGGCTGTGTAATTTAGCTAAAAAATATCGCTCGGAGTAGCAACGTTCGAGGACCTAGTGCTGAACAATGTCTAGGAATCACTATGGCTTACGATATCATTTAGTCAGCAGCACCTGCTTATGGGACGTATATACAACGCGTCCAACCGCAGCCAAGAAGACCTATAACTTTTGACGCTTGCATTTGAATGCGCCGCTAGCCTACTATTTATACACAAGATTATTGGAGATGATTTTAATCTGCCGTCAATCTCAAGGCCAATGGGAACCGCTCCTTCGAAATGCCAAAATGTTATATCCTGTATCCAAATGGATGCTGACAGCAACACGTCTCCCAACTTACCAGAGGTGAAAGTACTCTGGATCTCATTTTTTCGTTGGGCATACCTGCAATCAGCTAACGTTCTTGTTGAATTTCTGAGGTGCGATCATGGCGTGAACAAATGCTGCCTAAGAGTACGCATGGCCGATGTACAGAACACAATGCATTGTCGTCTGTTCAGTTCCGTCAACTGGAACTCTTTCAAAGACCTGGTTCGTTCGATGAATCGGGATAACTCCTTTCTCTCTTCATGTCCTCAACATGCGACAGACCTGTTTTATAGGATAATCAGCTGCTGCACCCATTCAGTAGTACCACAAAATGTACTTATTAAACTAAACATAAATCCGATCGCAAAGCGTTCAAGGCAGCACGAAAGCTGTATAAGATTCGGCGAAAATTCGGGTTAACTGCTGACTTTGCGCTGTTATTACAGCAGTCCAAGATCGTCGAAGTACAGAGGCATCAAAAGGATAAAACTCTTGTTCTAGAAGAGTTTAAAAATCTGAACGGTCCTAGCAAAATGACTGAACTAGCCAAACTATTCCGTGCCCGGGGTTTGCGTCGCAGTAATAATTTAAATTTTATCTCCACGCCTGATGAAACATACCTTGATATCTGCGAGGCTTTCCGCGCTTGTTTCGCCGAATCAATGGTTAATGAATCACCAGACACAGTAGAACTTATCTTACAGCACAATGGTGAAAGTCTATGCACAGTAGAATTCATTGCAGCGAAAATCAATGGTCAAACCTATTGATTTTGCTCTTCAAGTTGCGCACACCTCTATGGGATCCGTCCTTGTTTAATAAAAAGCAGTAATAGTGACTTCCCTCTGCTTTTGCTCAACATGTTTACACTCTCTTTTAACAATGGTGTCTACCCTTCTCTATGGAAAACTTCTGTTGTTATCCCGCAACACAAAAGTGGCCCACGAGGTTCAAACTTTCGTTCCATCAATCACACGCCCAGTGTATCCAGAATATTGGTAAGGTAGAATTTCGTCACATCTAGGCTCACTCAGACAGCCGCCACAAGCCCGGAAAAGCACTGTACGCGCGTTTCATGGAATGCACACTGCTGATGATTCCCGAAAGGATGAAACGCGCGTACAGTGCTTTTCCGGGCTTGTGGCGGCTGTCTGAGTGAGCCTAGATGTGACGAAATTCTACCTATACCATTCAACTCCCCCTACTACTCTTCTGCAATATTGGTAAGGTTAGGGAAAGATGAACTATTTATATTTTTGAACAAGGTCAATCTCAACAGTAATTTGTTGCATAGCTTCATGCAAGGTCGAACAAGCGCAACATTTCTGACAGACTTTTAAAGCACACAACGGCTGACATAGACAACGGAGTGTTGTAATCCTGTTCCTGGATATGCAAAATGCCTTTGATAGAGTGCCTCACAGAAGGTTACTGAACAAAATGAAGGCTAGAGGCAATGGAGAAGCTATGTTTTCCTGACTGTCTTCCTATCTAATTAGTAGACAGCTAGTGGTGCGCATCGGCGACTAGTTCTCTAAACCGAAAGCAATCACCAGTGGAGTGATTCAAGGAAGTGTTCTTGGTCTTCTTTTTCTAATATATTTTAAAGATATATTGCAGAGAATAAGAAATGGTGTTACGTTTATCTTTGCTGATGATATTAAAGTTGTCTACTCACAGCAAGGTGAAAATATGTAGGAAGCTGTACGTCGCATTCAGGATGACCTATCTGCACTGGAATCCTGGTGCCAACTGTGGCAGATGTCATTTGCCGTGGACAAGTGTAATATTTTGTCGTACAAATGCCAAGCCCCGCCGGACAGTCTGTTACTACAAGGAGCATATATCTCGCAACGCAAGGCGGTTCGCGACTTGAGCGTGAGATATACAGTCACTGTAAATTTTCTGAACATTGTGACTTTCAAGTTTCGAAGGCCATGAAGACCATCGGATGCATATGCCATTATTATAATCTAACGGAATCACGCATATCGCTTTGCAAAACTTGTTTATTATTTTGTATAGAATATTGTGCATTGATCCAGTCTAATCCGCGGAAATCTGACCGACATACTCTTGAGAAAGCCTAGAGATCCTTCACGAAAAAACTATGTGGATATTCCTCGAAGATAACATACAGGGAGCGACGTGATAAACTTGGATTTGACCCAGCATGGCTTCGGAGGACGAATCCGAACCTATGTCTTCTTTACAGGATTATAAAGCGTAATACTCACAATCTTGATCACGGTGTTCACATACCATTAAACAACAGATATCCGATTCGTAACAAAGAGATAAAGGTTATGAATTCAAAATTTACTACGAGAATCAGAGAACATTTCTTTCTAATCCAATACTCAAAGATTTGGAACAAACTTCCCAGAGATACCAGGACATGCTATACACTTTGCAATTTTAAATTTGCGATTAGTAAGCAGTTAACCGTCCAAAAGATGATTAATATGTTCGGGAAATCACAATCCCTAGATAACGCTTTCGAAAACGGCATCGACGTTGACAGAACAAGTTTACGAAACATTTCGGACCACAGCCCATTTCATTTCTCGGCCCGAACATATGTCGTGTGATTGCGAGGAACATTCAGTCAACGACATCAAAAATTAACCGACCGATGATGATTAATTTGCGTTAGCTAAATTTGAAATCGCGCCCATGTTTACTTTTGGATAAGTATTAATGCAGTCGTAAGTAAAGGATGTACCAGTATTCGAACTATTCCTTCTAGTGAACAGCTTCTCGCATCGTCGAGGAATATACGATATATATATATATATATATATATATATATATATATATATATATATATCGTATATATCCTCGACGATGTGGGAAGCTGTTCCCTAGAAGGAACAGATCGAATACTGTTACATCCTTTGCATGCTACTGCATTAAGAACTATTCAAAAGTAAACATTGGCGCGATTTCAAATTTAGCTAACGCAATGTAAACATCATCGGTCTGTTAATGTTTGATGTCGTTGACTGAATGTTCCTCGCAATCACACTACATATGTTCGGGGCCGAGAAATGAAATGGGGCTGTGCGTCCGAAATGTTTCGTAAACTTGTTCTGTCAACGTCCGTATGCCCGTTTTCGAAAGCGTTATCTAGGGGATTGTGATTTCCCGAACATATTAATCATCTTTTGACGGTTAACTGCTTACTAATCGCAAATTTAAAATTGCAAAGTGTAGAGCATGTCCTGGGTATCTCTGGGAAGTTTGTTTCCAAATCTTTGAGTACTGGATTAGGAAAGAAATGTTCTCTGATTCTCGTAGTAAATTTTAAATTCATAACCTTTATCTCTTTGGTTACGAATTGGGATATCTGGTTGTTTAATGATATGTGAACACCGGTGATCAAGATTGTGAGTATTACGCTTTATGATCCTGTAAAGGAAGACATAGTTCGGGATTCGTCCTCCGAAGCCATGCTGGGTCAAATCCAAGTTTATCACGTCGCTCCCCTGTATGTTATCTTCCGAGGAATATCCACATAGTTTTTCGTGAAGTATCTCTAGGCTTTCTCAAGAGTATGTCGGTCAGATTTCCGCGGATGTAGACTGGGATCAATGCACAATTATTCTATACAAAATAATAAATTAAGTTTGCAAAGCGATATGCGTGATTCCGTGAGATTATAATAATGGCGTATGCATCCGATGGTCTTCATGGCCTTCGAAACTTGAAAAGTCACAATGTTCAGAAAATTGAACAGTGACTGTATATCTCACGCTGAAGTCGGGGAACTGCCTTGCAGTTGCGAGATATATGCTCCTTGTAGTAACAGACTGTCCGGCGGGGCTTGGCATTTGTACGACAAAATATTACACTTTTCCACGGCAAATGACATCTGCCACAGATGGGCACCAGGAGTCCAGTGCAGATAGGTCATCCTGAATGCGACGTACGGCTTCCTACTTATTTCACCTTGCTGTGAGTAGACAACTTTAATATCATCAGCAAAGATAAACGTGACACCATTTTCTTATTCTCTGCAATATATCTATTAAAATATATTAGAAAAAGAAGGACCAAGAACACTTCCTTGAATCACTCCACTGGTGATTGCTTTCGGTTTTAGAGAACTAGTGTCGCCGGATGCGCACCACTAGCTATCTACTAATTAGATAGGAAGACAGTCAGGAAAACATAGCTTCTCCATTGCCGCTAGCCTTCATTTTGTTCAGTAACCTTGCTGTGAGGCACTCTATAAAAGGCATTTTGCATATCCCAGGAACAGGATTACAACACTCCGTTGTCTATGTCAGCCGTTGTGTGCTTTGAAAGGTCTGTCAGAAATGGTTGCGCTTGTTCGACCTTGCATGAAGCTATGCAACAAATTCCTGTGAGATTGACCTTGTTCAAATATATAAATAGTTCATCTTTCCCTAACCTTG